CGACTAATCGCAAAAATAATCGGTGACTAGTCGACTATCAAAATAATCGTTTGTGGCAGCCCTACTGTCAAGGTTGGCTGTGTACAGAACTCCGGTATTTACATAATGAGGAGATAAAAAAAAAAACCCAGGTAGGAACACAGCTGGGGTTAACTAACATAATGACTGTGGAGGACGTTAACCAAGACGAAGGATACAGAGAAGAACAGTCACCAAAATAAAACAGGAAGAGAGCCACAACTGAAAAGGATGCAAGACTAAATTGACACAAGTTACAAATCATAAACACAAAGATGAAGAAGAAGCCAGATGTGGAAACATAAGAGAGTCATGAAAAAACAGGGATACAAGGAAAATAATACAAAACTAGAAAAACCCAAAATGCCAGACTCAGAACACCGGGTCCAAAACACAAAAGCACAGCCAGCAGCTAGAAAAGAATATTTCAAACAAGTGCAGATTATTTATTAATCTTACAAACTGACCAGTATGTTTTTTCTTTAGCAGCTATCTGCACCTATGCTGCCTCCATCGAGCCTGACTGCCTCGGGTACACAAGCATCAGGCTCTGATAACAGTCATTCAACCATGACAGTGAATCAGTCTGGACCGCCTGTCATTAGTCTCACTTTGTTCATCAAGTCAACTGTCGGCCACGTGAACGGTCACAAAGCCTTTGTGCTAATCTCTCTGCAGTTTTGCTTAACTGCAGAATGAACAGTCCTCTTGTGATAACTGCAGAAACGCTCGGGAGCGAACAGACACTTTCTTTCTTTCCAGTTTGCCATGAGCTCATAATTAGTTTCTCTGGGTCAGTCACCAGACCAAGTCAAGCCCGATTTGACTTTTGGTTGAATATTATGGTTGTTCAGGCAAATACAGGCGATTTGTCACTGTTTTTTGTGAGATATTGTTAATATTATTAATTTTCAAGATATCTCTGACAGAAAAGTGCTTTTTAAAATTATGCCTTGGCATTAATGCCGAGCAGTTTGATGTACCAATAGTAACGTTGAATTATAATCTATGCTTTATTCTTTGTTGTGCATCAAATTATAGAACAATTATTTATGCAGTATTTGGTATACTGAACAAAACCTGCTCTACCAAACCGAGCTGTCTTCCTTTTTTGATAGGATGTTTCTTTATATTATCTCCCTGTTATTATCTTTAATTTCTTAACACGCAGGGTAAAGATGGAAGTCAGGGGCCATCTGGATCAGGGGGTGTAAAAGGAGATAAGGTGAACATCTGAGCTTCTCTAAGTATCTTATTGCCTACTTAAATTCCTTAAAAACCCATTTGAAGTAACTTAAGTTCTTCTTCTTCTGTTTGTCTCTACATGTCCTGTGTTCAGGGATCCAGAGGACCTGTGGGGCAGGAGGGAGTTGCTGGTCTCGATGGTGAGGAGGTAGATTGATTAGCTTGGTCATGGATTCAACTGTTTTCAATTTCCATTTAACATAAAATTAACAAAACCTAACATAAGAAAACTACAGATGTGAAGAGTACAGAAAGCACAGATAAAACAAGAGAAAGAAAGAAAATCTAAAGACCTAGAAGTTCATATCTGTTAGAGTAACTTCAGGAATATGAGCCTAACAGGACAAACTGAGTGTTGTTCTTGTCTTTAGGGTCCAAACGGACAGAAAGGATTTGAAGGGCCAGCCGGCCAAAAAGGCTTATCTGTGAGTCCAATTTCAATCCCAAAATTAAGAATAAAGGTTAATTTTTCTATCAGTTTACTGCAGCATTCGTGAAAATTGTGTTACTTATAAAACTGTGATTTCAGGGTGTTATGGGAAACACAGGACCTCCTGGGCAGAAAGGACCAAAGGGGTCTGAGGGTGAAAGAGGAAACCAAGGTTCACAGGGACCGAAGGGGCCACAAGGGAAACGGGTATGTAGTAATCCTAAAGTATCGTTTACTGGAGTACTGTAACACCACTGACTTCCATACAGGGATATTAATTCAAAAAGAGCAAATATAAGGAGTGTGTATCGCCTCTGCCTTGTCTTTACTACATGTGTTTTTCTCAGGGGTACAGGGGTGCACCTGGAGATAGAGGACAGCAGGGGCCCCCAGGACTCAAGGTCAGTCATTTTAACTCATACATGTAGAAACAATGATGAAGAAAACCTGAGAACTGGTGTTGCCTGTAAACAAAATGTCTGAGTCAAAACCTGATAGTGAGAATGATGATTTATTGACAGGGTGAGCCCGGCACCAGGGCTTTATCAGGCACTCGTGGGCCATTTGGAGCTGGAGGCCAAACTGGGGCAGCAGGAACGAAAGGCCAGAGAGGGCTCCAGGGACTCGCTGTTAGTACCTGAGGGGGACATGTTAACAACATGTGCTGTGTCTACATGTCTCTACAGAACATACATGTTTGACTATAATGCTGCTGAACAACATTATTATATCTGTTTTTCTTTCAGGGACCTCCTGGTACTGTGGGCCCTCCTGGACCCACTGGGCCGTCACCAGCTGTACGTTTTACTTTACCTAACATTAACTTTCCATTATTATACTGGCTGTGTGCTTTAATGTACACTCAATGTTTGATATTGGTATCACCTCGATGTGTTTGTGTTGAATTTGAGTTAAAAATGTTAACTAAATCACACACACTCACCGGACA